ACAGAGGAGATTTCCTGGCTCAGAGAATATCCAGTGACGCTGATACAGTTTATAAGTTTCTTGTACCGAAACATCTCCAGCTTCGCTACCGTGTGCACCTCACCAGAATTCCTTGAGAAGCTTGTCGCTGTTTTGTTTCCCAAGAGAAGAAACTTGCTGAAACTTCAAGAGGTATCGAGATGGGAATGGAACCTTATTGTTTCATTTGTATTTTTACTCCTTTGATTTGATTAACGTTCAAATAATTCAGCCATATTATTGTCCAGTCAGAACAATTTTTAATTTAGTGCCTTAAGTAATCTGGGAGTGCTTTATTTTTGTTTTCCTCGCTCTGTGATTGGTCTAGAAAACTCGCGCCATCTTCTCAACCAATCAGAACATAACACGAATACTGCGTCACCCACGTTTTCCCGCGCTTTTGGGAGTTTGCCTATTTTTACTGTGAGTACACATTGGCTAACGGTAATATTTCCTTTATGACTGGCCACAGTGATAACACTGGTTTCGGTTTTTTTGAAAGTAAATTAATCACTGCTCTATAACACTAAATTTTAGCACGGAAGAAAAGAGCATGATTAAGATATAGTTTTCTGAGTCTTAGGAATTGTTGTGTTTCTTTCATCCAGCTTGGATCAGACAGTGAGAATGAGGGGGAACCTGGAGCAGAAACTGAGACTGTCTTCTCGTCCCAGACCCTCCTGATCTCTCACCCAGTAAGGAAATGTGTGTTCGAGTTCCTCAGGGTGATTATGACTGAATCCCTCACTTCAAACTCATCTGCTAAGAGTCTGGGTGTCATTGACACCATCTTAGAGGTAAGCAGAAATCTTACCTCTGAAACTATTGGCAAAAGCACGAAGTGAAATAATTTTTCCTAAATTCATGATACATAATCATCAATTATCATGCATTTGAATCAATTATCATAGATTATAATAAGGTGTCGAAGAATTTTGTTGTTTTATGCTTTATTTCAAAATGTCATACATTATCATTTCCATGTAATGTCATAAATTACCATTATTCGCTTAGCATGCATAATCTATGATAAAATTTATCATATATTATCATAGTAATGTTTATCACCTGCATATTAATGTTTTTATTACGCACATCACAGTGTTATCCAGTCAAGTGTTCCCAGCCACAGCAAGCAGAATTCCAAACAGAAGTCCTTTGTGTTCAGATTGAGTATTTTCTTGGAGGAAATCTACTCACTAACCCATCAGCAGGGTGTGGCAATCATGCCAAGATTGTGGCAAATGCTTTCTTTTTTGCTTCCAAAGTTGTTGATAAGCTCTGGATTGGTAAGTTTGACGGTTTTTTTTTACTCGTTTTCTTGAGTTTTTAGCAGGTAAGGAAACAGAAGCAAAGTTCTAGCATACGAAACCCCAGGGGAAACAGCCGTTGATAAAGGTGTAATATTGTTTCTCAAGAGGAATGCGAAAAAACTTATCTCTTCGCCCTCTTCCGCTGGAATAAAAATAATCCCATCGCCATCTTCCATCTCCTGGGGCAGAATGGTCGATCTAGGGATCTTTTTCATCAAAGTTACTATTTGTTAATGTTTGAATTTGAATCTGAATCATACAACTTTCTGAAAATTAAGATAAGGAAATATTCTTTTTTCATTTTTCAGGCAATTTCGTTCACGGGTACAAGACGGTTTTTAACTTCATCACCAGCATGATTGAAGCAGTTAAAGGTAACACCATATTACGGGAACTTCAATTATATTTCTCGTGAATATATGATACATCTCCTTGATTATAAAGGCCGTGTTCCACCCATATCAGTCTGCTGACATGACAAACTTTCCTACGTATAGAAATATCTTAGCTGTGATAATTTTGTAGTTTACCCGCGTCCACGCGAAGGAAATCGCTTTAAGGCGGGTACATTTTGGAAGAGCTGTCCCTGTTTGTATTGGCGCAAGATGCGGGTTGTCTGTTTAGCTGGCAGAAAAGAAATCTAAATGAGGCTTTTCTATACAAAAAGCTTCTGTCTTAGATTTAATGAAAGGTTATTGAAGTACTTGATACTAAGCTGAAGCACCAGTGATTTGTAATCTTAAATAGATCTGGCAAACTGAGACAAGTTTTGTTTGTCTGTTTATTTATTTCATTCTTTTTTTTTTCCAGGTCAGTCAGTATCGATGGATAGTGCGTACCACTCTCTCAACAGAACTATCTTATACCAACTCTCCAGGCCGCTTGCTCGGCTCACAGGTGAGGAAGGTTTAGCAACTATCATGAAATATTGCGCGTGTATTGAAGGCGCACATTTTACATGCTTGAACACGAGCGAGGAAACCTGGGTTGAGTGCACGAAATTGAGGCTTGAGTGCGTGTAAACCTGCCGTTTTTACACGGTCCAATCGTACAGTGAAAAACTTGACATACGCAATGTTCCTCGAGTTTCGGGTTGTTAACGGTGTTGTGTTATCTCGTCATTTCTTCAGACCAAACCAGTCTTCTGGAGTTTCTCCATATCCTGACTACGAACCACAAGCTGGTGTTTGCATCTGTCAACAACGAGCCGAACTTTATTGCTGGTCTGTGCCACTGGCTTCTTGTCATGGGAACGCACAAATCTTTGGCAGTGAGCGAGAACAACAGTCCTAGCCTGGGAAAAAAGTCGGAAGGTAAGCAACTCAGCGGTCATATTTCGGACAAATCTTTTTTCCAGTCACTAAAAACGGGGAAAAAACATTTGCTTGACCTTTAAAATGAAAACTACGGAACATTACTCTCATATCGTTTTGTTTATTGTGATGAACAGCTGGTTTTCATCTTTGTTTCCTTTCATCTTTTCGTGTGCAGCCGTAGTCGGCAGCCTTGATGTTGGTGAAGAGATGACCGAAGAGGTCGGTGCAGATCACGTGTCCGAACAAGAAGAGCTGTCAAGCTGTACCAGGCTTCTTGCTGCTGCGGCCGAGAGGGTCTGGGACATATTTGTTCAGAATAAAAGAGAGGTGAGTGTTATAAGGAAATGATTGTTTCCATGAAAGTTTTTGACAGTTACTTCTGTCTTTTTCAGGTGATTTAATTTCTGTGTGACGCTTTTGTCTTTTTTCTCTTTCTCAGGCTATGGTAGCAGCTCTCAGTGTTGAAATCCCAAAGCCAAGTTTCAAGTCCTACAGTAGCAGCAGAGATTATTATGTAGAACACATGTAAGATTCATTAATCTGCTTTTCGTCTTTCTTTTCCGTAATCTACAATTTGTTATTTCCTTGAGTAGTCAAAGCACTCAGAGAGTTGTTAGTTGGAATCTTACAGACGCCAGAGCTTATCGTTGAGTCCGTGGCATGAAATGACGTAGAGGTACTGCAATCCCCACCCATCCCACCCTGGATGGGATGCTAGTCCACCCCCACTCCCTAGGATTTCGTAAGCTTACCCTGAGAGTTCGCCGGTATCAGTTTATACTCCTGAGTGGAGAGAGGCATGGGGAGAGTAAAGTGTCTTGCCAAAGAACACAGCGCAATGGCCCGGTTAGGTCTTGAACCCAGATCTCTCGACCTGGAGTTCTGCGCGGAACATCAGTCTTTCGCGTGTCCCAAACCAAACCTAAAAACTGTTGTGGTTAGTGTGGATATCGTGGTATTTTATCGCAGTTTATTTCAGTCTGATTTCTAATACTTACGCTCTTTAGGCCAATTGGAGGAACAACGAACTTAAATCTGGATCTAAAATCTGTAAGGTAAGGTGTTTTTCATTCTCTGTTGATCATTAACTCTTTACGGCGCTGCTAACCAAACCAAATGAGACCTTTTTTTTCTGTTTTGTTTCAGGCCGCTGATTGGTGAACAGGCTCTTAAAATGTGGATGACTTACATCTCGCAGGAAGAAAAACTCAAAGCTGAGACTTTAGGACAAACGGTACAGTCAAGCTGGATAAGATTTTAATTTCTCCTTACAATATCACCCCTGAATCGTGCATTAAGGTCGAGAGAATTGAGAAAATTATCACCAATGAAAGAAGCCCTTGATTGTTAAACAAACTCTCCTTGCCTCCTGCTATCTTCTTGTTCTTCCTTCCCGGTCCTGAGGGATAAAGGCATCTTTTTGACCGAGTTCGAGGTCCATACTGTAAGTTATGGATTGAGTTTTATCCACTCAGATTTATGGCCCAAGCACGAAGAGCGCAGGCCATAACTCCGAGCGGAAAAAAAAAGAGATTCTGTAACTAACGGTACGAACCAAGAAAACGAGGTTAGTAAGATATTTATAACAACTCTGGGTTAAAATGGAGGAGGAAAATTTTAATCAAAACAAACTTTTTAAATTAGCAGGCCGTACAGTGAGATATGCCCCGCTAAATTGATTAATTTTAATGCACGTAATAACTGAGAGATACGATAATAACGTTGAACATGGAACATTCGCTCAATACTCAATGTTGCACGAGGACGAAGAAAATCTCCGCGATAAGAGATGGGAAATTTTTCAGGAAAGAGAGTGGAGGATATAAGACGAGGGGTTCAAGTTGTCCAACACGATAAGATTAATTAATTATTGTTTCACTTTTTTGAAGAAACCGAACGCTAAGGGACGAAGCGGACCCTCGCTCCGAATGCTCAGCACGAAGAAAACCAGGAAGGAGAACAAAGATCCGAAAACTTT